TAGGCTTAAATTTTGAGATTTTTTTTTGAAATTTTCCCTTTTTTTATTATGTTATATAGTAGTTTTTTAAAGATATTATCAATTCTTATTATCAAAAAGAGTAATACATATATTTTTTGGATGTTAAATTTGAAAAACTCAATTCTAATTTGAACCTTTTGAAATAGATTCGTGTGGACAAATACGTGTATGAATTGAAAGTTGAAAAAAAATCTCAACAACGACTTGCCATGACTCCACTCGGTCGCCAACTGGACGGCAATAATTTTCTAATGTTTGACTCATAAGAGAACAAGAAACAAAATTGCATGTGAAATTTTTTTTTCTAAATTCAATCACAAAAACAATAATTAAAAGATTTATATGTAGACCTCATAGTTGAATTATGGGAGATTTGGTAATTACATTTTTATTTTTTTAAATATTAAATGTAGATACTACTAGACTTGATTATTATTATTATTTTTTTATATTGGATTCTTCTAAATTAAAATGGCTTAACAACAAAAAAAAAGTTTTGATATGAATTTAAAATAAAAAAATTGACAAACAAAAATTAGAGAAAAATGCAACTTTTATCATTTTGCCAAACAACTCATGATATTTTATTTACATTTTCCCTTCTTTTTTTTTTTTTTTTTTTTTTCTTTTTTTTCTTTTCAAATCTCAATCCAAAATTATGATATAAATGCAACATAAAAGTACTAATATTACATTCCCTCACCACCAAGGGATTGTTTGTTTTTATAATCGATTTTTATTTTTTAATTACTAGGTTTTAATTATAACTTTTAATATAAAAGTTTAAAAAACAAATACACAAACTAATACACCATGGGTTGGGTTTTTCTCATATTTATATCTTAATATGAAAGAATTTGAGGAGTTTGTAAGACCTACCACGGGTTTTGTAACCATAATTCAAACATTTTATTTTGTAAAACTCTCAATTTATATCATTCATGAAAAAAGTTAGTTCGATCAAATAATTGCAACCTTTTCATTTATCACATTTGTCTCTGAAAAAATAAATAACAAATATATTTTAAAAAATAGACTATTTATTTTTTTAAAGACAAACACGATAAAACGAAAATGTTATATACCTAATCTTTTTCATGGATGATGTACATTAAGAGCCTTACAAAATGAATAATTTGAATCATCGAAATGGAACCTGTAGTGAGGCCTACGGGCCCCTCAAATTCAATCATGTTGAGAAACTTAACACATATAGGTCACGTTTGTTTGGCTCCATAGGATGGAGGGAATTAAGAGTACGTTGAGATTGGAGTGAGAAGATTATTAATATGGTGATGCAAGATAAAGAGTATTTGTTTGTATATTACAAAATTAATAATATTATAAATAGTATTGATTTATAAAATTAGTTTTTAATTTTCAGTATTTTTTTAATATTATAATTTTTTTTTAATTCTAAAAAATAATTTTTGTTAAAAAATTCACAAATTTCCGCACTTAATTTCTAATCCCAACCCTTCATGGGATTGATAGTCCCACCAATAGAGGAGATTAATCCTCACACCCTTGTTTCCAACCAAATACTTTATAGGAAGGTCTTGTGAATTATTAGCCCAATCCTCCTCCTCAAAGTGCCAAACAAATAAGGCCATACCATATCAAATAATTTAAGGCTCGGTTTGGGAACTCCCCATAATAGATAAAAATTCAAACAACTATTAAAAATATTAAAAAGTGAAAGAAGTATACAAAAAATTCAAAAAAAAAAAGAAAAATTCTTCTATATTTTGTTTGTACTTTTTTTTTCATAAAAAAGTTAAAAAATTATTCTAAACATGCTATTTTTTTTATTTTTTATTTTAACAAAAAAAAATCAAAAAAATTACTTGAAATAACCTATTTCTAAACCAATATTAATTAAGTACGATTCTCAGTAAAGGGACAGTATCTTTGACCATGCATTGAATGAATGAAGGGTCTTAAATTACAAATAGGCCATTTGAAATTTTATTAAAATATAAATTATTTTTTATAATTTTAGAAATTATATTTTACTTTTGAGGTTTTTAATTTCATAACAAATAGTCCATTTTATTAATAAATCATCAAGTTAATTAACTATTTTTAATGATAATAGAAATATATTTCAATTAATAATTTAGATAATTTTATTATTTTATAGGAGAGTAATTATGAATTTTATTTTTTTGTTAATTCTGTTAAATAAAAAATTCTAATAGGTGTTTGTAATTTTTCAAACTATAAAGAACAACAAAAATGTTTCAAATCCCCACTGGGGGTGACCCCAGGACCCCAGTGGGGTCTGATTGGCCAGGAATTTTTTTATTTTTTTTTCTTCCAATAACCAACTCCCACGTGTGTGTGAGGGGGTGGTGGGGGTCTCAATCACATTTGAAAGAACAATCTATGTGGGTATTTGGGAAGTGAATATTTTGTAAGTTTTTTTAGTTGTAGGATATTATTGGAGAAAAAAAATTTGTATTTTGAAAGATAGTTGGGTTTTTTTGTGGTTTGATATGATATTTGTGAGAAAAAATGAAATGATTATGGGGTTTGATGTAATATTTTGTTTAAATTTATTTTTTTTTATTATGTAACCAATTTATCTTTTAGTGAAAAAAAAACAAAAAAAAAACTAAAAAATCCTCTTCCCAAACAACGCCATAGTATTTTAAAAAATCTTCGAAACGTATCTATAATTTATCGAGTTTTTTTTAAACAACGTTTGATGTGAAAGATTATTAGAGTGAAAATATTAATATAACAATCATAAATTATTTATAAAAACTAAATAATAAATATATTTTTAAAAATAAATAAAAAAAATTATTTAATTATTTTTAAAAATACATAAATAATATAAAAAATATTTTTTTTTTCATTATTCTCTTAAATTCTCGTCCAGACACGCAATATAACTTCAGGGTGTTTTGGCAACATGGTTTTTAGCCTCCGTTTGGCAAGAAAAAGCCCAGGTTTTTTTGGCTAAAATAGCCACAAAAAATAAAATAGGCTATTTTAGCCACAAAAAACAAAACATCAAATCCAACCTATAATCATTACAATCCTCTCTCACAAAAAAAAGTCAAAAAAGTCAAAAAGCCAAAAAGCCCTTCCCAAACCAGGCTAAAATAGCCCAGGCTAAAAAAGCCAAAAATCCAAAAAGCCAAAAAGCCAACCCACTTCCCAAACGGAGGCTAGTCACTTTTTTGGGTTAGTAGCAAAAGTCAAAAGTTAATTTTTTTTGTCTTTTTTTTCATTTGGGAAGTTGGTTTTTAGCCAATGGTGAAATTACAATTCTACTCCTCATGGGTCAAAATGTATTACATGAGTATAGCTGTAAATATTTTAAATAAATGAGGGTAGTTTTGTCATTTTATTATGATTTGACATCATAAACAAATATTAATAAAAAAAGTCAAAAGTAATTTTCTACCAACTTCCCAAATCATTTGCCTAAAAATGTCAAAAGCTTGGTTAAAAACCAAAAAGTCACTTTTTACTAACTTTTCAAAATAAGCCTTCGTCACTCCCAGCAAAAATCTGGACCCATTCGCCAAAAAAGTTATTAGTTGGTTTAAAGTTAGCGATACTCTATGGTCATATTTATTTGAGTGGATATGAGTTTGGACTTAGATTAATAATCTAATAATATTATTAATTTAATGTTAGGTTAAATAATTAAATTACGGATTAATAATCCATTCGGATATGGTATCCAACTATTCAATTCCACAGAGAGAGAGTGAGATATAAATTAGAAAACTAAACTAAGGTCTGGACTATTAAGCCCTTCTTATAATTCTAACTCAATCCAAACATAAAATATGATACACAATCCAAAGAGATTCATAGTCCTAAACTATTAGTCATGAGAATACTAATCCAACTTAATCTAGTTCGCCCAAATAAACATGGCCTATATATATTATGATTGGTAAAATAAGTGAGATTTATAATTTTATATTAAGGCCTCGTTTCGGAACCAGCCAATTTAGCCAAAAAGTCAAAAAGTTACTAAAAAAGTCAAAAAGCCGACAACTCATACCAAAAAGTCAAAGATTATCTTTTCTCTCTACTTTTTGCACATCTTTTTGTAAAAAGCCAAAAAGTCATCCACTAATTTTTTTTAGCTCATATTTTAGCCAAATAATAAAAAAGTTACTAAATTAACCTGTTTTCAAACGAGACTTAAATAGTTAAAAAATATAAAAATATGATAATTTATAATTAGGCCAAGTTTGGAAAGTCCCAAATAATCCATCTTTTTATCTTTTTTTCATCACATCATCTCTCTACTTTTCTGCACATCTTTTCATAAAAAGATAAAAAATACACTTATTTAGGTCATTCCAAACAACCCCTTAGTCACGTAATGTCTCTAAATGAACTTATAATTTTTTCATTTGTCACCTACACACTCCACATCGGAAGTTATTGTATGACACGTGGTATTTTAATATTTTATAATTAGTAAAAAAAATATAATTTATAATTTTGTGTTTACAAAAATAATTTGAACCACTAAACAAAGACCTCTAATGCATCTCTAATTTGTCTTTTTCTTCTTTTTTTTTTTGTCTTTTATTTCACTTTTTTTTTTATTTATAATTGAACAGCTCATTAGAGCTGCACTATTGCAGCTCTAATTAGAGCTCTGGAGCATAACCCTTTTGTGTTATGATATGGTGAATGATGATGAGTAGAGGGATATAAACACGTAAACCTATGGTAAGTTAATTTTTTAATTTTTTAATTTTTTAAAATCACATTACTTTTTATTTTTAATATATTTTTACCAAAAAAATAAAAATCAAACCTCTTTTCCAAAACTATTTTCAAAACTCTTTACCAAACAAATTTTCTACACTCAAATCATAACTCCACAACACACAAACTCAAAATACAACTCATACTCTCAAATCACATTTACAAAACTCTACAAAACGCTACCGTAGTATTCCGAAAATATCTACTAATAATTTTGGCACTACACACACCTCGTAATCATTCCAATATCCAATTTGGCTCTCTCTCAACATTGACCGACGCGCACTTCGGCCGTTGCATCACGTTAGGGTTTCCTTCCTTCCCCTCTCCTCCGTCGCCGTCACTCTCCTCCTCTGAAACTTCCACTCCTTTTACACACACCAGAAAGATAAAGTCAGAGAGAGAGATTAAGAGAATATCCCCATGTATTGCCATTGTCTCTGCCTCTCTCTCTCATCACTCAGCGCGACTCAAGGCGTAATCTTCTAACCTTTGCCCCCTCTCTCCTTTCTCTCTCTTATTTCTCATTCAATTCCCTCTCTCTCTCTCTTCCTAAATCCCTAGATAGAGAAAGTGAGATTCTCGGGGTATTGGATTTGATTTTGATCTGGGTTTTGGTGGTTGACGAAACCAGAACAAAGGGTATGCTTTCTACTTGGTTAATTTAATTCTAGGGTTTTGGGTTTAGTTTGATTGTTCCTGTTTGAGCATCGAATCGATTTGGAATTTCTAGGTATTGTTTTGAATCCCTAGATTGATCTAAATTGTTGTGAATTTTTTATAAAAGCGGGTTAAAGGTTGAAGCTTTGTTGGAAATAATGGATGATAGGAATAGGAACAATAATAATGAACACTTGGGTGTGAACAAGATGGGGAAAAACATAAGGAAGAGCCCTTTGCACCAACCCAATTTTGCTAATCCAACTAGGCAACAACCTCAACCTCAGGTCTATAGTATTAACAAGAATGATTTTCGAAACATTGTTCAGCAGCTAACCGGTTCACCTTCACAAGAATCATTGCCTAGACCTCCCCACAATCCCCCTAAATCGCCAAGTATGCGGTTGCAGAGGATCCGTCCTCCTCCATTAACACCCATGAACCGACCCCAAATCCCGGTTCATCATCAACCTCCTCCACCCCAGCATCCACCTATGCCAACAGCCCAAATTCCTTATAGTAATGCTAATGCCTTTGTTAGGCCACCCGCTCAGTTTGGTCAACAATCCCCCACAATGTTTCCGTTAACCCCTAGTGATTTGGTCTGGCCTAATACTGCTGAGTCTCCTATCTCAGCTTATATGCGGTACCTTCAAAACTCGATTATAGATTCAGGACCTAGACAAACCCAAGCTCAACATCAAGCTTATCCTCATCCTCACCCTCACCCTCACCCTCAATTTCAGCCGCAGCCTGGTCAAATTCAAGACCAACCACGATCCTCTGCTTTACTTCCTAACCCACCTGTGCCTCCTTTCCCCTCTCCACGTATGGGTGGTCCTCCTTTACCTTCTCCAACTTCGCAGTTCCCTGTGCCATCACCGAGTGGTTTCTTGAATTTGTTGTCTCCGCGGTCACCTTATCCCTTGCTTTCTCCTGGGTATCAGTTTCCTCCACCACTGACACCGAATTTTGCATTTTCTCCTATGTCTCAGCAGGGGATTTTAGGTCCCGGGCCTCAACCTCCACTTTCTCCGGGCATTGGTTTTCCGTTATCTCCTTCCGGCTTTTTCCCTATATCAAGTCCAAGATGGAGGGATCAGTAGTCCTTGCCAGCAGTATACTATTTGTGGTTTCCATGCTTGATCTGCAGTGAGGACATTCTTTGTGGTGAATAACCTCCTTCGTATGGAAGCTTCACTTGTGAAAATCTTGAATTATGTAGTTTTTTTTTTTTTTTTGGGATCCCCCCCTTGTTTTCTTTTTGTTAATACCGACATCAAGGCTTGTCTTGAGATGTTGATTATGTAACAGCTGCAATCTGTCCGTTTCCTTGGTCAAGTTTAACTTTAGGTGATTTAATGAAGCTTGGAGAACTGTTCCTAGCACATCAACAATGCTGTAACATGTAAGAAGGTAGGATAATACACTGAAACTAATGTTGTAATCAATTTGTATTTAGTTTGAGTTCAAATCATTCTTCAGTTTGACAGTCCTTGTAAACAATCTCAATGTTATGAGTTTATGCTTATTGTATCTTGTTATGCCTTTATTAGGGATTCCAGTATTAAGTTGTTAACCTTCTCTATTGTAATGCAATATGCATTGCTGGTTTAATAGTTGTAGTTATTAATTAAGTAGAAAAATCGTGTCACAAGAATTAATTAAAGAGAGAAACTGATGAGTGATTGGATTGAGCTGAGCTGAGGGAATCAAAGTCCAAAAAATTGGATGAGGTATTATGGACATATATATATGTATATTTGTTTTTGGTTAAAAGATTTGGAAATGATGAGAAGAGACACGGTGTAGCCACTTTATTGAATTTCCATTTACTCATTTAGGTTGTGTCATCTTCCTTCCACACGATTATTTTAACACTTGTCAACAAAATCTTTAGTGATCTGAAAACCTTTGGTGAGGAGCTGAGGATGTTGAACCTCATATGGTGACTGTTTCTTAGCTTCTTTTGTTTTTTTTGGTTTTGTAATTCTAATGTTATTCTATTGTCTGGTAATTCTTTTGGGAGAGTTTTTGCTTCTTACTTCGTTGTGATAGATGCTAATTATTATATTAGTTCTTTCATTTCTTCTTGGTGTATAATTGCAGATTGATTCCTCTATGGTATATTTACAAATTGATTTTATGTTTAATTGAGTTGAAAGCATATTTAAATTAGTTCTTTCATTTCTTCTAAGTCTGGCGTAAGCAGATTATTTTTAGTGACAATTACTTTTTTCAAAATTTTTGTTTTGAAGAATTCTCGTTGTTTATCATTGTTCGGAGGCACATCTCTGATGCACTCTGCAATTTGTCCCTGTGATTTTCTTGATCTTATTGAGTGCAGTCCTTCAATTTTTGTTTTTTTTTTTTGGTTCATGGATTTATTTGTTAAATAGTTATATTTTTGTCAACATCTGGAAAGGATTTCTGTAGAGTGATGTTGCAAATTTACCTAATCCTAATGATCCAGGCTAAGTTTATTTGTTTTTTTTCCTTCATAGGCTTGAAAGTGCAGGTTATATGTGTCCGTTTACAGTAATGATAGAGATTCTCACAAAATTCAACCTCTACGATCTCTAAAATGATCGGATCATTTATGTCATTGCCAAACATAGAAAAAATAAAAAATAAAAATAAAAATTTAAACACATCAATAATCAGTACACTAATCGTGGAGTCCTTTGTGGGGTTCTCAACATTTTTGGTGCATTTAAAGCAGTAGTGACTGCATGAAGTACTGTTCTTGTCATAGGTCAAAATTTTGAATGTTGACTGTAATTTTAACTTCAAGTCAAACAACTTGTATTGCTATGAAATTTAATGCAAAGTTTGAATCAAAACATACTAATCGATGTTGACTTGGTAGTTGAGGTGGATTGTCCTCGAAAAAATTGCAGCATAATGTCGTTTAGCATAATGTCGTTTAGTTATGTCGACTTGTTGAGAAACTCTATTTGCATGTAAGAATAGGACCTATTCATTTTCTGATTTGAAAGAACATTTGGAGATTTATATATAACATATTCACATGTACAGACTTTGGTGCCAGGTTTGTGGCGGTTAAAAAATTACAGAGATTAGTAGTAGTCAGATTATGTATTTGTTTGCATTGTTTCCATGACCACCTACAACGGGGAAATTTATGAAGCAATTGTGTGGTAGACCAATCAACACCTGTTCTGCTTTTAGCATTTGTCCAAGTGCTTCTTTTTTTTTTCTTTTTTTTTTTAAATTTTTAAATCGCACTTTACTCCATTTTGGTTTATCCATACATTTCATTCTCCCTTCTTTGACTTCTTCCAATTCTTATATATTTATATATAGTGATTGATTAGGCTTAGATTTGGTGATTGACCCTCATTTACCTGGTGTAAAAGCATCACAGTTACTAGTTACTGCATTAGAGCTGTTACTGAATAAGTTTACAGATAAAAATATAGACATTTTAAGGATTTTGTTCAAGAGTGATTTTTATTAGATTGATAAGGTGAGACTTTGAGAGTTAGAAAATAAAATGATTATTGTACCTTCAATTTTGATAGAATTAAATATCAATCATTTAAAAAATCATTCTAGAGGATCTTCACTCTTTGTTGACAATAGTGGGTCATATTGTTTTTTTTTTTAGTGAGAGAGGCATTTTATTGTTTTGGGTTAGTCGGTGATAAATTCTAAAGAGAGTATATGGCATTAGGTCTAAGATATATTTTTTATTGATGAAAGGTTCACGTTTTGTAAAATAATTTGGTGAGAAGTCCTGAAGAACAGTTTGTTTTCAATTTTACCTTTTGAACTTTTTTTATTTATTTGACTTTTTGACTATCTGTTTACATTTTTATCTATCGGTTCAAAATTGTTATATCTGTTCAAATTTTTTGTTAATCTTTTCAATTTTTTCTCCTGAAGTACATCTATTTGGTCAATTCTTTTTCTAAATTCTATATATCTATTCAATTTTTTTCCTTAAATTATATCAATCTGTTCAATTTTCCCCATAAATTTTATTTATCTGTTCAATATTTTTTCAATTCTATTTGTTATTTTTTTGGGCAAATTACATATACCCCCCTCGAGGTTTGACTAAATTACAAATACCCCCCTGAGGTTTGAGAAATTACAAATTTTTCCCTGAATGCTATATTTGCATAACAAATTAGGGGGTAATTTGTTATGAAATTTAAACCTTAGGGGGCAAATTGTTATGAAAATACAAACCTCAGGGGGCGGTATGTAATTTCTGAAACTTCAGGGGGTATCTGTAATATAACCAAACCCCAAGGGAGGTATATGTAATTTGCCCTTTTTATCAATTCAAATCTTTGCTACTATTCAAATTCACCAACCCGCTACCAAGCCACTATATGTTCAAATTTTGAATAGATCTTTTTTTTATCTGTTGCACCATAGATTTTTTTTTATCTGTTTCAATCATTTCAACAACAACTACTCTCCATTGTTCAAAATTTGAACAACAACAACAACCACAATAAAAATAAAAATAAAAATTGAACAAATATAAGCATTTCAACAACACAAAAAAAGTATTTGTGCCACTATTTATTACAATCAACAACAAAAAAGAGAGAGATGATTAGGGCAGACGAGGAATCGATTGATCATCATCATCATCACGATCGGGGAACAGAAACATATCAAAATAGAATCCACAAGTAGAGATGGGGGCAGTTTGAAGAATAGCCGTCTACGGTTGCTTGGGCCAGACGATGAATCGATCGATCATCATTATCATCATCACGATCGGAAACAAAAACAGATCAAAATAGAATCCACAAGCATTAGATATTTGAATATATACACACATAAATGTATATATAAAAAGAGAGATGGATCAGAATATCCTAGCTTGGATTTTTCTCTTAAAGAGAATAGCACTCGGTAATTTCAGTTTCGATCATCTGGGGAAATATTCATCACTTACATCTCTCTCATACATGTTTCAAACTCAAAATAATTAATAATAAAAAAAAAAACATATATATGATATATGAAGAATTTTTCCGAGTCTGATTCGAATGGACTCTTTTCAAGAGCCCCCTTAACAAGTGAGGGTTTGAAGGCAGAATAGGAGCAGAGTGCTGGTAATCGGTATTCGATGCATAATTTCACAACACCCATCATCATTATGATCATCTCCACAAGTCTCATCCAACGAAAGAGTCCTTGCACAGATCTTAGGGCATGCTTGTTTTGAAGGATTAATGGGTGGGATTGGACTATTAGTCCCATTGGACTAATAGTCCATTGTTTATTTGTAAAATTTTGCTATTAGTCCCACAAATATGGGATTATCCTATCTCATGGGACTGTGGGATAGAACCATGGGATTGGTATCCCATAAGATTATTTTGTAAAATATCCATTTTACCTTCCATGCTATTACTTAGTAAACAATTAGAAAATGATAAAATAATCTTTTGAATATTTATAAATTAATTTAAAATTATATATTAAACAAAAATTATAAATTATAAGTTATAAATTATAAATTAAATTTAATTAAAAATAATAAATTAAAAATTATGGCCTTATAAATTAAATTTTTTTAGTGTTGTTAAAAAATTATTGGAATCTGAGATAAGCGAATAAGGGACAAGAGTCCTAGAGTAAAGAGAAGACTTAGCCAAGATAAGGATAAAACTCTTAGGGAGTTTTATCTCTTGAAGAGTCCAAAGTCAGTATTGAATTGGAGTCCATAGAAGTCAGGCTTCTAGTAGGACTTGGATTGAGTAAACTATAAAAAGAGAGACACCCCCGTGGGTCTAAGGTACGCAGTTTTATACTCATGTTTATGAGTTTAGCACTTGATTATCTTTGAGAGATATACTGACTTGATCGTCGGAGTGCCCCTGGGTGGAAGAGCCACCGCCGGAGCCTTTTCTTTCTGTTACAGGTTTCCGGGGACAATGTATCCCGGGACTAACAGTCCGATGGATTACAATCCCCCTTATCCAGTCCGTCCAAACAAACACACCTTTAGGCCATGTTTGTTTGGGCGGATTGGATTAGCATTCCTATGACTAATAGTCCTAGGACTACGAATCTGTTGGATTATGTATCCTATCTTAACTAATAGTCAAGTTTAAAATAAATAGTCCGTACTTCAATTGTTTAACCAAACATCGGATTAATAATTTTATTGGACTATTAGTCCAATCTCAAGCTCATGTACACCCAAACAAACATGGCCTTAGTGTCTTCACAGTCAGATCAGATGAGTGGAAGAAGTTGGGGATGACGAAGATCTTGATCGATTGGAGCTGAGAGGTGCAACGGCGAAGATGAGAGGATCTGAGATCTTAATCTAGGAGACAGATATAGAGGCGACACTACGGTGGACATCGATCGGATCTGAGAGGCGCGACGGTGTGGCGACGAAAGAAGAAAGACCATCAAGCGATGATGAAGGAAAAGATATCAACAGCTAGCGATAGAGAGAGATCGACGAAATGTTCTGACGCGAAGGTGCTAGAGCTCTGACTGCGGTGCCGTCGGAAACACCACCACCACCGTTGTCACCAGCGAACGA